TGTCTGTCAAGGAATTGGATTCAACTTGGAAAATTCCTGTCTTCTCCAGACACAATAAAAACAGGAAATATTTATCAAATTTCCAGGTGTCAGGAAATACTTTCAAAACTTTGCAGTGATCAAAACAGCTATTTAAAGAGATACGATGCTATAGACAGGTGTTAATTATGATACCTACTTTCAAAATATATGCTTTGGTACCCATGGAATAGATTAATCTCTCTTTTTTTAGTATCCTATAAAAGAACTTTGCAGACTGACCTTTGAAAGATAGCATGAAAGCTGTTTTTCTTATTAACATTCATGAACATAATGTTTTATAAGTGCTATACTTTGGTAAGCTAAACATTTATTGATTTCTTATTTATCCTTTTCTCTTTTGAAGAACGTCTGGGCATAAGCAACATTCTTCTCATCCAAACACACAGACTAATTGCACAAATAGGTTATATATTAAATCAAGTTATTTATTTGTGGTCCCGGATAATAAAATACAAGAACAAATTTAAAACACAGAAAAAAGAGCAAACCTGAAACAATTAACGAGAAGAGGATATCACCCAGATTCTATAAACAATAGCTATATTTAGAAACCTAGCAACCTATATGGTGGCTGTCTAAGTTAGATCTTGCAAAAGGAAGATGTAATTTCTTAATCAGAGAGAAAACTAAAATTTCTGATAATCAAATTTATGAGTACCAGACATCATGGGGGCTACAATGGGCAGTGTAACAATACATATATCACTGACCCATTTGGGGAGGGAACTGTTACATTTGCCTAAGATCTCTATAATAGATAGTACACCTATTTGAGTCAAGTTAAAAAGCTTCCTATGTAGAACATGTAGGACAGGAGTGTTGAACTCAATTTCATTGAGGGCCGCATCAGCATTGTGGTTGTCCTCGGGGGGCCGGGTGGGTGTGGCCAGAGTGGGTGCAGCCTACTGGGTAGGCATGGATGGAGTGGGTATGGCCTACTGGGTGGGCATGGCCAGTTCTACATCGTTCGCGTCAAGGCTGCCTGTGGGGGCCTGGGCAGGAGTGGGACAGATCTGAGGGTCTCTGGCAGAAGAGGGTAGGACCAGGGCAAGCATGGTCCATTTCTTCATTCCTCACTTCCCCAGCATGCACCCAGGGGGCAGGGCCGACACGGCAGAGGCTGGTTCCTCGCTGTTTCTAGACAGCCTTGTGGAGCTAATACTGAATTTATTTTATTTATTTATTTATTTATTTTCAAATATTTATATGCCGCCCAATGCGTTTCAGCATAGATGGCCACCACAAAATTGTACATTGGCTCCCGGCCAGCCTGGGCCAGGGCCAAGGCAGCGGGGGCCGTTCCCTCACTGTTTCCAGGATGGCTTCGCGGGCCACATTAAACCACTTTGCGGGCCACATTTGGCCCCGGGCCTTGTGTTTGACATGTCTGATGTAGGATGTTACAGTATGGAAATACTTAGGAGTCATCCATGGAGAACTTTCAATTGTGCCATTACAGGGCTGGATTATTTTGACCCTGTGTTTTTATAGATCTTAATCCAAAATACTTCATTTTAGTTCAATTAAGGCTTTATCTTGGCCGAGTGATGATGCTATAAGGAATGAGAGACCAGAAATACCAGATCAGAATCAGAATTTGCCTCTTTAAAATCTATCCAGTAGGGTGAGGTGAACTAGAGATTTCCCTCCTGAAATTTGTTTCAGCCCAAATTCTAGTTAGCTCTGTTTCATGGGGGCTCAAAGAGAAATGTAAACAAACTCTAGCTAAACAAGGACCTAAGCACAGAACATGGAACTTCAGAAATGGATTGTAGGTATTTTGGGGGGAGTCCATTATAACTGTGAATGGTCACTAAGTGAACAGTTGTAAGTTGAAGACGATCTGTAGAAAGCTGATAAAGTTGATTATTCCACAGGGTGAACAGTTGAAGTAGATGTCTAGCACTTGAAATCTTTAACTTCCTCATTTGGTCTTTTGTTAACTTTCCATTTAACAGGAGACTTAAAAAGCAGTTTCCAAAGAAAACTAGAGCCTTGATTAAGGCTCATTGAGTGAGTTGTGCCCAATTTTACAACCCCTTTTTGCTGTGGTTATTAATTACTGCAGTAGTCAAGCATATCACTGAGGTCATTATGTAAATCTGGCTTCCTCCATTGACTTTGTAAATTGACTTTGCTTGTTGGAAGTCCCCTGAGAAGGTCATAAGTGGCATTCACATGAACCCAGGATGCTGTAACTATTGTAAATGAATGCTGGTTGCAAAGCAGCCACATTTTGATCATATGGCTGCAGCGACACTGTAACATTTATAATGCAAGGACTGATCATATGTCAATTTTTTCAGCACTGCTTTAACTTCAAATAGTTATTAAACAAATGGTTGTAAATCAAGGACTAGCTGTAAATGGTAGGAAATTGCATATTGATCTATTGTAGAATATCCTGACCTAAAACCGACTTGTTTAGGACCCAGACATTCCCTCAGTACATCCAATCTAAAAGTTTACAGTATAAAAACCAGGCATAGAGTTTGCTAATTCGGACACGAAGCTAATTGAGCAATACATAACTGAATTTTGCCTATTGTCTTTCTTGTATATTGGGAAAATATTAGAATTCAGCCATTCTTTGGTGAGCAAAAAAGAATTATTATTGGCAGTAAATAGGTGATTTCTAACACTGAGGAAAAAAATAGGTAAATGGAAACCTTACTTGCAGAACATGTATGTTCATAAAGCCTGGGTTATCTAAAAATTATCAGTACTTTTTATTCTCTAGGCTCAGTCATTAAATTTTGTGGATTTTTTCAAAGTCAAAGTGTTTATTGTGATATAAATTGAATTACCACGTATACTAAAATAGCTATAATTCTATACATTAGTCTGCAAGTTTTAACATTTTAGGCTTTTTTTCTTTTCTTTTTTAATACTCTTGTGCCTGATATAAAATTTTGGTTACCATGTTCAGTACCATGTACTATGTACTATGTTTCAAGTTACAGCACAGTGAATAATATAAACCTCCAAATCTGATAAAGGTAGATGTGGAGAATATTTTGAACAGTGTGATCAAATATATGTGATGCTTCACTAGCACAGATGGGCTTTCTATTTCCAGAAATTTATGTATAAGCACATCTCAAATGATTGAATGATTGTAAAATAAGACATCTGTTCCATTGAAAGGCTGTGTCATGTATTACTTGTTATTGCTACCTCAGCGTGTGTAGATTTTCCAAGGAATATTTGATATGATTAATTAACATGCTGATGCTCTATTTTCCCACAGCCCAACTGGCTACCTATAAGCTCCCACATTTCAGTTTTATATCAGACATGGGCTGAGTTCAGAGAACATACTGTGCTATGGTTTGATTAACCATGATTGTTTTGATTAATCATAATTTCCTGGGCTAATATACCATATTAAGCCATAGGTCATAATTACAAAACACAGTAACTGAATTCATACTTCATGTTATGGCAAAATTTATCTAATGAACGAATCCCAAAGTGGAAAATAACTTCATGGAACCTGTAACTATACTTAGATGTTTACTATTGTCCAATGTATATGTTTTGACTTGTACTGAATTCAAGAGAGTTTTCAGGGAATTTAAATATGCCATAAACAAAGTTTCAAAAATTATTGAGTACATATTGTCATTTGCCTCAGCCTTTCCCAATCTACTACCCTCTAGATGTTAGGACTTCAAATTCCCAAATTGCCACCCAATTTGGTTAAATCCTTTCAAAATAATGAGTTTGCCTGTGATATAAGAATGGAAAGGAGATCAAATGAGAACCCCCTCCCAAAAAAAAAAATTAGGCCCACAGGTATAGGATAGTATTTTTTCCAGTTTTAGAAACACTGGTTTTTCAATTGCAATGTTTTTCCAACAAATATTAATTTTCAAGGACATGTGCTAATAATAATATAGAATTGACAACAGTGTGCTTTTCAAAGTTCACCAAAGAAATATACAAGTCTAGGGACTATACCAGTGGTGGTGAACCTATGGCACGCGTGCCAGGGGCGGTACTCAGAGCCATCTCTATGGGCACATGCCCCATGCCCCAGAGATGGCAACCATCCCTCTTCAACCACCCTCCTGCTGAGGTCCCACATGGCCAGATGCATTCCAGCACCCATGTGCTCGCTGGCCTCTGTGTGCAGGGACCGATGATGACAGGCAGCAGCCGCCCCAGCCCATCTCACCTTGCCCTGTGATAATGGCACCCCCACCTTGCCTCATCTCAACCCACAGGACAAGCCTCCTGTCCACTGCCCCACCTGCCAGAGACCTCCTGGATCTCCCCCAACCCTGCCTGGCCCCCACAGGCATCCCTCCCCATGAGCAACATCAAGGTGACCATGCCCACCTTGGCCACACCCACCCAATCTGCCATGACCACTACAGCCATGCCCACCCAGTGGGCCATGCCCACCTGGCATCCAGCAATAAATGAGTTTTGGGTTGCAGTTTGGGCACTCGGTCTCTAAAAGTTTCGCCATCACTGGACTACACTGATCATAGATTTGAAGGGGCTGGATTAAAGCTTATTGCTAGAATCAGGAAATAAATTATGTAAATCTAGGCTGTCGAGTCTTTGGAAGGACAAAAGAAAAAAGAAACAAATAATTTACAAGATCACAATACATGAAAATGTGAATGACTGCTGTTGTGAAAATAGTCCAAATCCACCCCACACCATACAGAAGACACTCAAAAAGCCAGACAGTATTCGACTTTAAGGCTATGCCTTCTGGACAGAGGACATGAGGACAAAAAGGAGGATATGTCCTTCTTTTTCTGGATGTCTAATAGCCCCACCTGAACTATATATTTGCCTTTGGTGCAAAAATATCAGAATGAAGAAGCAACTTTGCATACCCAAGGTTAAACTGTCTGTATGTAGAATTAAATTAATTTAAATAAATTAAATTAAACTTGAACAGAACTCAGAATGTGAAAGCAATAGCTTTATCCATTTTATTAAGGATTAATTACATTAATAGTAACAACTATAGAAATACAATCTTATATTATAATAACAGTTAGTTAGTTACACAATTTTGAAGGATTCATCATATTTGGCAAAGCAAACAACAAAAGAGTTATACTCATGTAAATATTCACAACACCATTTAAATAAACTCTTTCATCCTGCCCACCAAACCATACAAGCAATTTTCTTCTTTTTATGTAACTCAGAATTCCTGAAGGAGCCTCAAATCTTATTTGCTTTCAAATGATCCATTAACTTAGAGAGTAAGTGTTTGCACTTCTGTAACATTGATTGTATTGGCACTCTTATTGTGAGCTGCAATCTTCAGATACACAGTTCAGCTTTACAATTCAAGCCAGCACATTTCAAGCCAGACTAAGTTTGATTGACTGCAAAAGGGAACATGAATTTAACCGCAATAAATACATTATAAGACACAGAGCCTTCACAATTTAATTTTCACAAATAAGTTATCCATAAGGAAGGTAATTGTTAAGACCAGTCATGCTTAAAGCTTTTACCATCTTCTTTTATTTCAACAGAAGAGAACTAATCTTTGAGGCTAGTGGTGCTAAAGTAGTAGTAACTCAGAGATGAACGGGAGACCTATTGGGAGTCAAAAGAACTGAATGTGGGTGGGTAAAGCTAATTGGTAACAGTTAAAAGACTTGTTTAGTCTATGTTTTAGCTCTGAATAAGACTGTTGCCATAAAGTAAATTCTCTGAATGTTTAATAGAAAAGGAAGTCCTACTGTATTGCTACCAAATAATATGTATAGGATTCAGAATTAAGGCTGGTTCCATATTCAACAGTTATTACCTATATTATTGGTACTCTACTACTGGAATTAGGATTTCAGTCAACAGTACATATACTAATTTTTATTCCCCATACTATTTTTAATTCTTTGCTGAATAAATATTTTGTGCAGGAAATATAGAATTGAGAATGTTAAAAAATAAGATATACATGTTTTTCAATATATATGTAAGCGCCAGCAATATGCAAGTTCCAACTATATTTTACATTCAAGGATTCATGATTCATATAGTATTCAGAAGATATTTCTAAAAATCATGTACACTGTACACAGTTTCTTACTGAAATTCAATCTTTTCCCAAAGATACATAAATTGAGTCTTCTTTAAAAAAAATTAGCATTTCCTCTGCAAGAGATCTGTTTTTAAAGTGGTTTGTTGAACATTCACTATTAGAAGAAAGCATGGGTTAGAAATCTAACCCACATTGGCTAATATCAGCGAGGATTTAGCCATTTCACGATTGGAGAGTGAATGACTTTTTCCTTCACAAAATCCTCTTCTACCGAATTACCATCACCAGATCCCATGTCATTCTCTGAAAGTTTAAAAGAGAAAAAAATTGGGGATTAGTTTTTTTTTAAATCCAGATACAGATTTTCAACTAACTTTTTGTCTGAATCAAGAACTTTAAATATCATGTCCATTCTCAACACATTATGATGCTCTTTCATGCTAGCCACATGATGATGGGAGCGTCTCCCAGACAACAGTGACTCCCTAGACTGAGAATCAGAGATGAGCACCGTCCCCCTGAGTCAGCCTCAGCTGGACAGGGAAACCCTTAAACCCTTTAGTGAATTGAATCATGGGAACTGAACTGAATCATGGAATCTTATGAACTGAATCATGAGAATTTGATTTTACATTTGCTCATGTAATTTCAGAGATAATGTTCAAGTAAGAGAGATGGGAATGTCAATATTTTTATAGAACAAATTTGTAATGATATAAATCTCCCAAGTTTTCCATAAGAATCAAAATATTAATATTCAAATGCGATGCTCAGTGCTTCAATCAAGTATTTAATTCAAATAATCAGACAATTGATTACGTGTCATCAAGTCATTGTTGACTCTTAGAGTTTCTATCCACATGGTTATCTTGGTAAAAAATATAGAACTGTTTTACTTAAGCCTCCTCCCACAGAGTATAAATTGATGCCTTTGCCAGTGTCAGTAAAGTGATCACTTGCCTCCATCATTTCCTAAATCACTGTTGCCAATATAGCTTTAGCAGGGCAAATGGGAGGAACTTAAAATCTTGGGTGACCTTGCTGGGAATATATACTTTTGGCATACACTCCAGAATTTTTTGCTCATCCTCCTAGGAATATCCTGCTGCCACAATGAGGCAGTACAGCAGGAGTTGGGAGGTCAGGAATAATCAGGGAAGTAGTAATCATTCTTTAATTACAACAACAGTATTACTAAAGCTCATGCCTCATGCCTATTAAGTTTCAACAGTCTTCTCTGTGTGCATTTATTTAATTCTGAGCCAATAAATAATTACGGGGTCAAATATTTCTTGAAGCAAAGCATCATGGGATTGTTATCTACCAGGAGGTTCGCTAGGGTACTATAATACAATTGTGATGCACAGCTCATTAATTCAATACAATTTGCAAATGAGAATACCTTGGCATGGACAAATCTTCTAATGCTTTATACCAGTGGTTCTCAACCTTTCTAATGCCGCGACCCCATAATACAGTTCCCCATGTTGTGGTGACCCCCAACCACTTATACATCTCCGGGTGCCAGAGGCATGGCCAAAGAAAAGGGGAAAAAAATGGCGGACAGCCTTGTTTGGCGACCCCCGTGAAATGGTCGTTCGACCCCAAATGGGGTCCCGACCCACAGGTTGAGAACCACTGCTTTATACCCTTAAGAAATGTATGCAATTAGATTTACCTGCAGGTGGCAGTAATTTTCGTTGGTGGGGAGGTTTTGATGCAGCCAATTGGAAAAAAGAAAATTTTACACACTTTCCAGTTACTCTGTCACAAATGCCAGATGGACAGCTGCAGGTTCTTAGACAATCCAAACCATAAGTACCATAGGGACACTCTGCAAGTAAAATGTTAGAAAAGAATAGACATATTACTATGCTTTAAACTTTTATTATATTGCAGAATCATTTTGTTCTACATCAGCATTTTGCAAATCACCATGAGTCTAATAATTAAACAATTAAGTAGAATGTTATGAATGCAACTCTAAATATAGTCGCCTCCGCTCTCCTTGAATTTACTGAATAAGCATGTATACCATGGAATTAAATCACAGTGAGTATAGCATTTCCTTTAAGAAATATGCAAAAGATTCACACTCACAAATATACACAATTTTTACAAACTAATCCATTATTTCACAATTATTTTTATTTTCTGTTTATTTAGTAAACCTCACTAGATTCAACAGTGCTCATTCTTAGATAGTATAAAATGTCACCTCTTCATTTAAGGCCTCTTTCCCTCAAAAGAATGTTTTGTCAGAAATACTGAATTGCAATTCCTGGAACTCCTAGGGACCAATCTTCCTAGGAATTTATGAGAGTTGTGTTCCAACAGAAATGGGGAATGCCAAATGAGGAACGCTTGTCTAAGGTCTTCATCATATAATAACTTGAAAATATTTATCTTCACATATTTATCTTCCTACATTTCCAAGATTGCAAATAAATTATTTGTTCCTTGAAAAATTTTATGAATATGTTTTCTTCAACTCTATATTCTTTTTCCCATCCAAGAGGTTAATCCCAGATTTCAGCCTTTTAAAATACATATTTGGGAGGCGTTGATAAAGTTGGCTAGGTATAAAAAATGCCCACATCAATCAGTACAAAGACTAGTGCTATTACCCACATTATTTCTCTATATTTTCTTTTCATTTGAAGTTTGTTTGCCCAGAGTGATATTAGAGCAATCCCACTGGACCTGGGACTGTATTAATATTGAAATAGCAGGGAAAAATAATTGAAGTTGAGACAATAAACATATTCCTTGTTTTCATATGGCATGTTCGTGTGTACATGCATATCATTTTCAAAAAAGATACATCCTTTCCTACAATGAGCTGGAAGGGGTTGGATGTTATTTAATCCAATTTTTCCATGATGCCAAAATCTGTGGCTATAGCAATCTTTCCTCATCTCTAAGCAGCCTCTGCTTAAAACCTCTACAAGGAAGTATCTTTGAAGACAGCTTTTTTTTCATGGTTTTAAACTGTTGATACCACCAAGGGAGTTTCCATAATACTTAGCTAACACAAAAATAAGGGGCAATGCCTCTTTGACAAAGGTGCTTGTGACAGGGGCATCTGTGTCATGACACACATAAAAAGGAGGAGAGGATCTTGGATGCCATCTTGACATTTTCTCCCCATCCTCATGGGCCCAATGGATGCCTGTGCTATTCATTTAAATTTTTTAAGAGAAAAAGTGTTGCAATATTTACCATAGCAACTTTTTAATAAAAAAAATCAGTTGAATGTAAATATGATTCAGACTGAGGGAGTTGGGAAGTCTTGACAAATTATTACTTATCTAATGCATTATTATGGCCTTGACAAACTAATTTAGCTAAATTTGAGTATGCTGCATCTTGATTTTGGAATGTAAGAAAGACAGAACTTTCTGTTCCACTTCAGGTTCCAAAATATCTGTGTATAAGTATTACAAAAATGTCTGTCATCCCCATTTAGTTAATTCTAGAGGTTTGATATGGCCTTCTAGAACTTCATCTTTTCTTCTAACAGGTTAACATTATTGTAAGAGTGTGAGGAGTTGTTTTCTCCTCAAGGCTAGAGAGTATGCCTGAAAAGCAATGTTTAACCCTGGCCTTTCCTTCTTACCTACAGTGGTTATCTCCAATGCAAAAATATAGATAGCCACTGGACAGTAGCAATTGGTTTATTTTCTGAGTCTCTTTGGTCCCATCTAGTGGTCAATGGCTTTTTGCAGTTCTGACTTGACAGTCCTATTGTTATTACTAGCCATGGTTTTGTTGATTTTATTCTGGTAAAATTAAGTTATTCTATACTTTGCTCAATACTGTATCGTTAAAAAAACAATTATTTTGTTTTATTGTTATTCATGCTTGTTCCAAGCACCTAAGTGAAGGATATGCAGTTGCTATCTCTCACTATTTTAACAACCTTGTGAGCTATTTAGGTTGATTGTCCAAAGCATTCTTCTTGAATTGAGATTTGAATCAACATCTAAAATTGATGTTTGAATCTAGATGGATCAAAACTTTAATGACTACAATATGTGTGGGCCTTTTCCGACATGCAAATTATTTAAACGAAATAATTCAGTCTAATAGGGAAGTGTCTATTGCTTTAGGACACAGCAATACATGATATATTAACCAGCTTTTAGGTACTAATATAAGCAGGAAAGCAAGATATACTATCTTCATCAACATTGGTATTATGAAGTTGTAAAAAACATAAAAAACATGTTATACTTTAAAGCAGATTTATATGTCTATCTGTTTACAATGCAAGCTTACATCTTATATGACTAAAAATGATTATTTGAATGACAGAAATCTTTTTTTTTCTTTGTTCCTAGTAGAATAAGGACATATGGAGAACCTCCATGTTTGCAAGAGTTAGTAACCTATTTACAGGTTATGTAAATAAATAAATTAATAGACTGAGCTGGATTTAGCAGTTTAGACAGGAGATAGAAAATTATATTCTGTCAGAGGAAAGTGGAGAGAGAAAGAATGTTCAGAATGTTTACTTTGGATTACAGAAGCATCTCATTCTCTTACTTCCTATTGGCAGTATCCTGATAGTTACATAAATTGTTCTTAACAGTCAAGAAAATCTCTGTAAAGACATTCAAATGTCTACAGTATATTTTAGAAACTTGCATCTGAAGGATCCTTATTATCTCCCAGCATATTTTAAAGGAGAAGGGGAGTATATTAACATTATTAATCCTCTAGTGGGAGTTTAAAATCTTCCTGGTAGCCTTGTTTGTTTTTTGAACAGCAAGATGTGGATTCAGAGGTTGCTGTTCAGGATTAGAAGCCTCTGAGATTTATTTTATCCATGCCCTTTTCCAGTTTTTATTTTGTATTCTGTGCCCAGTGGGCACCCACCATGCCCTATCTTTATTTAGTTTGCTTTTGTAAGAAGGGGTCCCCCCCTCTCTCTCGTTTCCAAGTTAAAATACCCAGCAATCTAAGGTGTTTCTTTGGTGAGATATCACAAATGCTTTGAACACTTTAAAAAAAGTGATCAAAGTTATTAAAATAGATTGATGATCAAACTAATTATTGAAGAAAATCATTCTCTAATAATTGTGTTTGGACTTTAATGTTGAAAGTCTGCAGATATTCACCTGAGAGTAAACTGCATTGAACACAATAGTGTAGGACATACTCCAAATGAACATCAGAAAAAGTAAGAAAGGTGCGCAGAGTAGAGTTGTATTGCTATTTGTAAATAAGTGATGTCACTGAAGTTATATACGGAATAAATTGAAACTATTTATTTTGTCAGAATGTTTAGCTTATCTTCTCCTTTCTTAAAAACCACAAAAGTCACTTCACTCACACTTTACCTCTGCAATAATATATCCCAAAAAATGCCTGTTTTAATAGAATTGAATTTCTAATTGCAATAGCAAATATATTTTAAATTTGGAAAAAAGACAGGGGACAAGGGAATATTATTAAGAACCTCAAAACTTTACATGCGTTGTTTTGAAAGTATTGTAAAAGGGAACTATTGGGATTGTTTGGTATACAATCATCATATCTATGCCTTCCTTCCAAAGTTTATATCCATGTTATAAAATGCAGGTGTTATTCTCTTGATTGCAGCACATATAATATTCATTATACATCTCTGGGAAAGAATATTGACCTAAGCACTTTTGAAATGCTTTTATAAATTTCCCAGGCAATATTTGCATATTGTTTCCCCATGGGCAATAGAGTGCCAGTAGAATTAGGATTAAATGCTCATTGTCTTGGCTACTTTAGGCAATTCTTTTCCAGTCTGCTAAGCAGAGAAATTATGAACCATTTTACAGCATCTGGTAAAATGAAGATACCTGTGCTAGGTATATGAATACCATCAATAACTACTTTTTCGTACTTCAGCATAGGATAAATAGGATAATTATATATATATTGGAGCAATTTCCAACAGCTATACATTGACCATTAATTATCATGTTAATGTTATCCAATGACCATTCTTTACCTTTGCAGATACCAAACTCATCTCCAAAATCATCTTCTTCAGAAAAAAATTGGCACTTCAGTCCGGGTCCACATTTGACACCATCCATTCCTGCAACTGTCCGGTAGCAAGTTTCTCCCAGAGCTGCAGCACACACCCTACAACAGCCACAGTCGTCCAACACAGTCCGCTTACAATGCTGTGGGTTTTTACATTCACTGCTGTTACAGGATTCCGGACAATCTACTGCATACTTGGCGCTCCAGGTAGCTCTGACATGCATGGGTACCAGAAGGAGAGCGAGCACCAGAAAAGTGGTCATGGCTCCTGGTGTGATGAAAGACCAATTCCACTGTCCTCAATGACAGGTTGCAAAAGTTCAGTCAGATGTCTTCTGCTCAGGGATGCAGGAGCGAAGAACCCAGTGTGGAAGTTCTGAAGATCAGCTTACAAATTTTGGAGCTTTATACAGCCTCTTGCCCACAAGGCCTGCCGTCGTCAGTTTCCTCAATCTGTCCTCTTGCCAGCCTCCCTTGTTTTACTTTGCGAAATCCAGGATGAAGTTTGGATTAGCACACTGCTACCATCCAGGAATTGAAAAGCCTGAGCTGATGTAATCTGTTATGTTTAGTTGGCTTGTTTTCCAGTGAGGACTGAAATTCTCTCACATCCGTCTCAAATGCTCAAGGATGTCTGCCAGAAAAGTGCACAGGAGTAAAAGGGGGTGGGGAAAGAGCGAGTAGGTTACATACCTTCTCTCAGGACAAGTGTTGTTCTCACATTGGCTCTGTATCTCTGCAAATCTTTACAAACTTTTTGCACAAAAGGAACACTACGCATCAGGAAGAAAGATTGTATATCTAACTGTGTAGCTTCTCTGTCTGCCCTTTTTCTCAACTGCAGCAGTAAGACAATAGATTGTTACTTTAAAGTAGTCCCACCCCAACCTGGTGCCTTCAAGTGTGTTGAAATCCCACTTCCATAATCCCTAAACCAGCTAACAAGAGCAGCAGGATAGAGACAACAGCTTTAAAGATTGGGCAACACTACTTTAAAAGCCAGGGAAAAGTATATCTTGAAACAAAAAAGAATGACCCTGTCAATATTTAGTTAGGTAGATTGCATTCAAAGACCAATGCCAAAGACAAGAAAGAGAGCGGAGATGTCAGGGACCTGTGGTTTCATCTTTCCATACCTCAGATAGTTATCATTTTAGCATCTTTTAGATGATTAGCACTTTTCATACAATTCATGGATATTTATTTTGATTAGGCTGGAAGAAATCTAATTAACTCTTCCTTCAATAAACTTCCTGCCTTCCAACATTCATGGTAGCAGATTTTCATGGGAGGAGGCACCTGAAATTCCATTCAAGCTGTAAAAGCCAATTCAGGAAAAGGCTAATAAAATGCATGCTATTCCCAAAAAGAAATTGCTCAAGCAGTAAGTCCTCAGTGATTTCCAACCAGCAGTTTACATATTTTCAAGTTGTTAATCTGCAAGATATTTCAAGGAGTATTGAGATAATCATGATATGGACAAAGGGAGAGATGCAAATGAAGGAATGCGGCCATGTATCTATAGGAATCTAAAGCAAATCACAATAAGACCACATGCATAGCAGAAACAATATGAATTCCGTGATCTACATAGTTTAAATCATAACATTTAATATTATTTGACCCCTTGCCCATGTCATGGACACCCAAGCAAGTATCCTATTTTCAGAAAAGAATCTGTCAGATGAAGGTCTCTTCTATTTGAAGGGCTGTCAACTCCAATTTCATTTAGGGAGAACAGGGGCCTAAATATTATGTATCGGTAGTCAGCAGGCAAATTAAGTCACCATCTTCATTATTAGGCTGAAAGGTAAATTTCTGTTTAAGATAACCGTGGTCATATTTATCAAAAGTACATATAAATTAGCATAGGCAAATCTTAGATACACTTGTCCCTTCATGTGTGGTATGGTGTTTCCAAAGTTTTGACAATAACTTAACTATACAAGTTTAAATTTCTTCTTTTCATTTGAAGATCACTTTTGTATTTTCCTTACTATGTGGTTGTGGAACTCACTACTGGATGGTGATAGAGAGTTGCAAAAAAATTTAATTTCACACAACAGAGTTGCCTGCAGAGGTTCAAAAAATTAAGGTGGTAGCCACCACTATGAAATGAAAGATTTCACTTTTTATTTTTATTTTTATTTTGCATGTTGATGCTTTGATCCTCCTGAGGACACCTTTGGCACTCAATGTGAAATTCACTAAAAAAAGAGATCCTGGAAATACTTTATTTTCCTAAATTTGCATGTCAATCTCTGAGAACTCCTGTGGATATTCTAGGAAAACTGCAAAGGAGTCAGCATGAATGTATACATTTTATTTCTCAATAGGGGAGGAATTACGGTCTCTGTAAGAGCTCCTTTCTCTCTGTGATTTCTCTGAAGCAGTTTTTCAAATCTTTCCCACAATAAACCTATGTGGAAAGTTGGACTAGAAGAATAGCTCAAAGATACTCAGTGAATTTCTGAAGCTGAGAATCTCCTAGTATCAATCTAACACTTAATTGTGGGCATCATGTAAAGATATTGCTCTCATGTCATTGGTATTGATCTCCAATTGTATTTTTATCCTCTTCTATCATCTTCTTATCAGTCACTGGTTGATAGATCTGTTTTATTAGGCGTGTAATACCCAAGACGAAGTTATATTCACTATTTGTAATGTAATTGAAATGAACTGAACTAAAGTGTTTTTTGCAAGTAGTCAACTTTGTAAGACAAAACCACCATTCCCTCGCATCTGCCAAAGTGGCCTGCTAAAAGTTCTCCTTGCCATAACCACAATTTCCTCTATTGCTCTTCTGGTGTTCAAAATTACCATCTAAGATTAACAGGATGGCACTCTTCCCAGGTTAGTTTTTAACCATGGGCAACTTGTGGAATAAGCACCCAGGGAAAAAAGCATCTGCCTCATTAAACTCAGGGTTGTAGACTTGGTTTTATGAAAATATTTGTTTAAATAGATTTTTATGCCTGTATAAAAGCCAGTCAGGTAGATAATAATATTATGCATACATAAGCATTCCCTGATTGATGAATCCCTTATGTTCCATGTGCATGGTTTACCTTACCAATATCCACATCAATATGTACACATAAAAGCAATCACTTTGGAGGACCTCTGTTTTCCATTAGCAGTTCCTTTTTCAGATTTTTGACTGGACATCTTGTGGAGCATAATGTAGACATGCTCAATATCAAGAACTAATTCTGCTTTTCTGTGTGGGTTTTAGTGTCCTCTAAATTATTTTTAGGAGAGATTTCAGATTAATAGAATGTATCGTTTGGAAGGAATCTTGAAATCTAACTCTACCAGATGGTCCTCCATCTTCTATGTAAACTTCTTCAGCGAAGGAGATTCCATCAGCTCCTATTCCACATTGAACAACTTAAATCATGAGGAATTCTTTTCATAAAATATTTCTTTTTATTGAGGCTATTTATAGTTTTCAAATTAGGTGTTGGGTGGATTAAATGATTAGATGGTTGAATAGTATTTTTATGAGCATTTTATCTCTTCTTGAGATCCAAAATGAAATGGGCAGATATAATTTTTTAAATCAAATACATTTTAAAAGTTATCAGTTTTAAGAGTTGTACATATACATGGTTGACATGTTAATAATTTATTATGTATCATAAACTAATGAGATTTTGAGGAAATGACCCCTTTATCAAGAAAAACTTCAACCCTAAAAAGTCTTGATATTTACATTTTTCACAGGGTTCAAGGATTTACAGGAAGAATTAAGAGTTCCTGGTAGATTGATAGCTTCGCTTCTTTGAAGCTTCCACCAAAATGATGATAAATTTTTTATAAAATGAGGAATGTTCAATGCCAACAATATTTCAGAGTGTTTATGAATAATTGTGGTTAGGTTTCATGTATTTAAATCTTTTTAGGCAAGGGCAAAAGTAACTTACTCCAAAATTAATTAATCTGGATAGAAACTTCAACTTTCATTTAAGCATACAAACATATATGTAGGTAAATGCTTTCTGTGAAGTATAACCATATTATTCAGGCTTCTTCTGTAAATATATTTAGGAAGTACCTACTTTGCAAATCTCTAAACAATATGAGGTGGGATAAAAGAGATCTCTGGCATTTTTTAATTTCCCAGAGGAACAAAATAATCTAACAAAGTAATAAAAACAGAAGTGTTAACACAGGTAAGATTGAGAGTGAGAACTCCTTGAAAAGAAAACATTTTGTAGCAAATGCCTCCAGAGCTGTCCAATACTACTTAAAAATAGAAGGCAAAACAGCATGAACCAATTGGCCACAAGTTAGGTCAAAGAACAGCATGATTAAATAATGTGTGGTTTATAAAGCTAAATGGAATACAGGTAGTTCTCAATTTATGACCACAATTGGGCCAGAATTTCTGCAACTAGGCAATTAAAGCCCTGTCCCATTGTGGCTACCCCTTGGACTTTCTTATCCATCACCCCACCCCAACAGGCAACAGACAACATCCCTTGACACCAATGCTCAATAATAAGATATAAATGAGGTTTGGGGTTGTCAGCCAGTTATTTAAACTTGCCTTATTACAGTGAAGGCATGAAGCTCATGGCTACATGCCCCCCACAATTCTCTGAGATCATACCTCCAAATATCTATCTGAAGATGCAAATGAGGAGAGGTGTGCAAGTTAGTTTATTTTTCTTTCCTTTCATATGGAATGAGAGTGCCACGTTTTCCGATGCTGAACTTCAGAAGAAAAGGGTGTTTCCCTCTTCATTCTCAATATTTCTAAATTGGCAAGAATGAAGATCAGAGGATACGGTCTTCAAATTCTTTCTGAGATTTAGGGAATAAAAGTAATCTTGGCTCAGGAAGAACTGCATCTGAGAGGAATCCAAGGCAAAAACTGACAATCCTGTACTATACTACCTTCTTCTACATTCATGTGATAAATAGATTCCCAAAAATGTTCAAAGTAAGGTTTGGATAACATCTTGCATGTAAACTTAATTTGGGTCAATAATGTAGTGTGTAAGATTTTCCCTTAAGTACATTTTTCAAAAATAATATGTATGGCAGGAGTGTCAAACTCACAATGTCACATGATGTGTTGCAATGTATTGGGACTTTTTCTCCATTGCCAGCAATGGGATGGGCATGGTTTTGGCATGACGCATCCAGCCTATGGGCTGGCAGTTTGACACCCTGATCTATGGAATTCAATGCATCAAGGAAATATACTTAAAGTTGCAGTCATTTTCATCTCAGTGAACAGGTTATTTTTGATTACATATATCATATTATTAAAGAAATAATTATTTTTTATAATACAAATACACACACACACCATAATGTTTATATGGTATATGTTTATATAACTGACTGAAAGATTCATTCCTTACATTGCATAACTAACCAACTTTTCCTGTGGTTTCCTTTACACAAAGCTGTAAGCATAGTACCCTTAAAAAACAGAACTCCATGGGGTGCTACAATAGGAAGCCAAGCTATGAATTCTAAAATATGATACCAGAAATAGAAAACTAAGGGGGGGAGACCTTTAAAACAAGGAAATTCCAACAACATTCCTTACCCTTTTGCATGACTTCTCTTTGTATGTCCTTTCAATGAGTTATTAACAGCTTTTTTAATTTAACAATTTAATTAAAATAGATGATAAAAATAGATGAAAGAGAAACCAAAAGAAGTTTATTTCCTCTACAGATATTGGAGGTCAAAGATCACTGTGTTATTTCCAGGTTTCAATAAAACAAAGAGATCTTAAAGTGAAGGTGAACAAAAATCTCAACAAGTGAATCTTTGAGAATATCTTTGGAAAACTCAATGTTAAAATGGAATCAATTGATTTGAATGTTAATCACACACAGAACCCAGGTTTATGGTGTACTCTGTTTGTAACATCCCTGGGTATGTTAACAGCAAAGCCATTTCTCTCTAATCCAGGAATTAATTTTCCCAAGGGGCCGC